ACTCTTTCCAAGTTGCCAGGCGTTCCTCACGATCACAGCACGTGTCGTCGCTGGCGCAGTACTCTATAATCAGACGCTCCAAGTGAGCGTCGGCAGGTGGGAAGGAAGGGAAGATACTGGTATGTCTGGTGTTGGGAAAAGAGAGGGGAAACGGGGTAAGCCAGCCCGAGCAGGATATGGCTGCAGCGGGGTGGGAAAGTGAACAGATCACTGGGGCTGAAGGGAAGCGCTAAGGCATAGGAAGCACTATGCAAACACAGCTCCCGAAAATCTCTGTTCCCTTCAGCCTGTATGTTCACTGCACTAAATCAACACACGCACGCCTGAAATTGGCAAAGCCTCGCACCTCACTCATCGTTGTGGCCATTGGCCAGCAGCACTCCTTTCTCGATGTATATCCATGGTGCTGCTCTCGTCGGCAATACAGAACGTCCCATTCTTGAACAGTTCTACCATCAAGTCCAACTTCGCCCTCCGTTTGGTCATACCGTCCACGAGCATGGCTGGGTGATCCACCCACCTGATGTCGCAGCCCAACGCGTTCATGGCCTGCCGAATAATCTGGATTTGCGTGGCACACTTCCGATCTCGACCTCCCGTCGTCTCTCTCTGCAGGTAGTCATACAGCGACTTGGCGTCCACGACGCACAGTCCCTTGCGTAGGAACTCCGCCCCCTTGTTCTCTTCGTTGCGTCCCGCCAGTGACAATAGTCGGCGATGTTCGCACCACCGCTCCCATTCATCAAGCCGGAACTGGGAGAACGCGAACTCATGGCACAGGGTGACCATCCATCCCAGCTCGGCAACTCCCGTGTTGAGTGCAAGCGTCTCTGCGTGCAGGGTCGAGTCCACCACTCGGTTCATCCTTGAGCTCCGCCATGCCAGCAAACTAGCCCGCTGCCGTTTGCCCTTGCTGATCTCCCTCGTCGTGGCCAGAATAGCATACGCACCTTGTGACCCTCCTTCGCTGCTGTTCTGTAGGCTCGCGTCGGAGACTGATAGCCATTGGAGCTCTTCAAAGGGAATAGACCACACCGTGATCCCCAGCTCAGAGGTCTCCTTCATATGCTTCACCAGCTGGTTGATCTCCTTGGCATCTTCGTAGGTCAGCTTGCTCAGCGCCTGCTGCAGCAGACTGCACCTCCCACTCCCATCTGCACGTAGCTCTCGCGTGAGCCAGTTCAGCGAGCCCAACACCGCCCGAGCCTGACTGCAC